TTACTGTAGCAGGACACGGGCCGGGAGCCCTCGCCAAGGCCGGCATTTCCCCTCCCCATCGCTGCTCCCCCCTCACCCCATACCCGAGTACTTCCCAGCCAGGGTCAAGATGGCCCCCTCTTCGCCTGGCCGCCGGTGATAAACTAACTCTCCTCCCAGCACCAGCCGATGGGTGAGGCTCTGCAGGAAGTGAGCGACCATGATCACTGCGGGGTAGTGGAGACACATGGCATCGGTCACAGGGACAACGTCCGGGCCTGCTCCGCCGCCCCCGGCCCACCCAAGAACTTTCCAGTAACCGGTCTGCACAGACGACGACGACGAGGCCTAGCCAACGTTAGCAAGTGATCAGCCAAGATCAAAAGAACCCTGTCCCAATTCCTCACCCGACTCCCCAATCAGGTCAGGATTCCCCAGGGTCAGAGTAGCTGTGTAATCATCTCCTCGATACTCGCCATCGAACTGCCACGTCAGGAACTTGGCCTGCTGCGTCTGCAGCGGGGAGAGAAAGGAGTGACGCCTTCCTCCCCCTTTGCGGTCACCGGGGCCTCCGCTCCTCTCGCTGGAGCCCCCAGAGCAGGACACCCGTGGAGGAGGACAGGCTTCAGCGGATAGAGGTCGGGACCATGGGTCACCTGGAAGACAGCCTTGGCTCGGAGCCGCTCTGCCAGGAGGAGCAGGACCTGGGCGTTGAGGCTGCCGCTGCTGTCCATATCCCCTACCACGGTGGGGAACACCTGTTGGAGAGGGTCCCCAGTAAGACCCAGCTGGTGGGGGGCACCGCTCCGCCTCCATCCAACTCGCTAGGATTTCTTTACCAGTACCCAGCGCCCCCTGGTGGAGCCACAGAGATAGACTTCTTCTCCTCCACCTTTCCCCCCTCTCCCCTTCAGAGGAAACACAGAGAAGCAGGTGCCCTGTACACTCTTCCCCATAACACACACATTTCCTCCTCCTCTAGGCCCGAGTCCCGGCTGGGCTTTCAGGGAGATGACCCCGGCGTGAGGAGTCCTCACCTCTGTGGGGCTAAGTTGCCAGTCCCCCGCGTAGGCCGCGTGGAGGTGATAGCCTGGCAAGCCCAGAGCACTCATATGCACGGTGTGAGCCACCTGAGGAAAGAGAAGTCACTGGAGGAAAGCGTTCCTGCCGATTTCAACCCCCTCCCCGCCAGCTGCTCCCCAGCCAGATGGCCTTTTAAGAATCCCAAAGATTCCACATAGCCAACACCAGACAAAAAGCAACAAGTCCCACAGGCAAGGGAAGCAGGGAGAGCCCCACATCCTCCCTCATTTGTCCCACAGAGCCTGCTTAAGGCTTGAGTACAAAGGCAAGGAGGAGAGGATCCAGGGATAGGCGGGGAGGGATAGTGAGGAGGGCCAGAGAAGTGGGAGCACCTGGAAATGGCTGCTCAGAACCTTGTTGACAACGAGCTTCACTCCCTCCATCTGTGCTGGGAACACATCTGAAGGGGGTGGAGGGGAGGGGAAGGGGAGGAATAAGCACAGACAAGGCACCCCTACCCCCAGAGGTAAGTCTCCTCTTCCAATCCCATAGAAAGCACTTTGGAGGATCTGACCTCCTTTCGAGTCCTATCACGAAATGCTCCACTCCATTCAGGCACGGGATCCTCCCAGGGGCTGGATGCCCCGGCTGTGATCTCCCTTTCCTGCTCCCATCACTGGACACCCAGCATTCAGGACCCTCCCCTGCTCTGCCCCTTCAACTTGAGACACCCACATGCCAAGTTCTCACCTTTGCATAGCCGGTGCAGCTCATCGAAGCTCCCAGGGTTGGGCAGAGGTTCCTCTCGCCGGGGGCTCCGGCGGGGCAAAGCCCCCATCGGTGCCAGGCCCAGTGTGTTCCCCATTTCAGTCCAGAGGACAGGGGAGGGGCCGGGGTTAGCCTGAGAAAGGACGCTATTGCTCCCTCTACCCCCCACGGGCCCCACCCCCCATCATCCGACTCCCCAGTCCCAGAAACTTCCACATGGTCCGACGCTACACCTGGAACAGGAAGAGTGGGGAGAGGGCACCGGTGGGGAGACTGAACCCCAGACACCCCCACACTCCCGTCCCATCTTCGATCCTTCACCCCCACCTGTCACCCCCTCCCCTCCCCCATTCTCTAACCCTAGCTCCCACACAGACCTCACCCAGCTTCCCAGTCTGCTCTCCATTCCTAGGCCCCAAGGCGAGGCTTGCAATGAAGCAGTAGCTCTTACCGTCTCAGACTATCCTGCTGCCTCCTTTCCCCCGGCACACCCCGGTCATCTTGATGGGGGCAGCCATCTTGAGTGATGGCAGAACTGCGGCTTCACGCTGCATTCCCAGCGTGGTCATCCACGCCATCTTGGAATCGGGCAAAAAAAAGACATCAAAGATCCGACCGACCCTCCCTTGATTGGGCCCCGCCCAATCGATAAAAAAAAAAAAAAAAAAAAAAAAAAAAAAAAAAAAGCTGCCTCCCTCTCCCCGCGGCCAATGGGAGAGGAGGAAGCGAAGGAGTGGCAGACGCAGGTCCAGGGAGCTCCAACCCAGGCACTGCAGAGGCGGGCGGGACTTGATTGGTAGCTCCTTAGACTTACTCAAGTGGATGGCCTTAGATCGCCCGGCGTCTACAAGGTCGGGGGGAGAAAAGCTGTGAGCGTACAAGACACTAGAGGGAGCATCTTGGAACTTGGGCCACTTTCACCCTACGGCCTGGAGACCCGTTTTGTGAAGGGCGGCGGACGGAATGATTGTGAGGACTTCATTCGGACCCTGGTTCCTATGGCTCCTGGGTGCCCCCACCTCGAACCCCTAGGGACTCCCTGAAAACCCTCCCCAGTACAGCACAGTACACAGTGCACCTCCAGATGAGTATTGCTCGCGAGTACTGCTCTCCCTAGAACATGGCCCCACACCTGGAGGTCTACACCTCCCCAAGTTCACCGTCTAGTTCTCTTGGCGGAAGGGAAATGGGTGGGGGTTGCGGTGGAAGGAGCAGGGGCTGCAGCCTTCGTACTAACGAAACCATTTCCTGAGTTAGGCGTCCGACTCGGGCTCAGGTCATGATCCCACGGTCGGTGAGTTGGAGCCCCCGCGTCGGGCCTTCCGTGCTGATGTCCTCACGGAGCCTGCTTCGGATTCTGTGTCTCCCTCTCTCTCCGCCCCTCCCCCGCTCACGCTCTGTCTGTCTCTCTCTCAAAAAACAAATAAAACATTTTTAAAATTAAAAAACTAAAACTATTCCCTAAAACAGCTGCCCCTTATGGGTTAATCCCCCATCCCCCCCCCCCCCCCCCCGTGGCCCAGGTGTTGTTGGCAGATAAAATCTGTTGGTCCCCAAATGAACTCCACTCCACAGCCAGGGACAGTCCATGGAGGGCTCTTCAAGTACTAGGCATTCCACAGAGGAATAATTGAAGATGAAGTAAGAATTTGGGGCCCTCGGTCACTTCCCCCACTAGCCCTCACCTCTCCGACCCCTTCTCTCCTCCCTCACAATCAGAGCTGGCACGGGGGCTGGGGCCTTGGTCAGAGGGATGCGGTGGCCCCTGCTGACTCACATTGGCTGACCACCACTTGAGAATGACCAGGGAACTTCGACCTTTATCCTTGGTAGAGGACTCTCGTTCACTTCCTTTCTTGCCAGGGCCCGCCGTTTGGGAAGGAGAAGGCAGAGGCTACTTTCTGAATTTGTTTTATTGGGGGTGGGGTGTCCTCATTTATCAGCACTCGGGAGGGTCATTCTGTGTTTTCTCCCTTCTTGTCACACATTAACTGAACACTGGAGAGATGCGATCATACCTGCCCTTTGGCCCGTCACAGGACTCTCCTAATCCTCGTTCCCCTCACCCCATCCCCTGATTTCTACTCCTTTCTCCTTTCTTCTGTTCCCAATTCTGGTCTGCCAAGTTACAGTGAAGGGGATGATTCTGGGGAGAGAAAAATCTACCCACAATGGGACAAAGTTACCAACAGCTGCTGCGGGCTTCATATGTCAGGGCTTCCCAGGGGAGACTAGGAACCCTTCCTGCAGCATTCATTTTTTAAAAACATTTTTGTAATGTTGATTTTTGAGAGAGAGCACGAGGGAAGGAGGGCCAGAGAGAGAGGGACACGCAGAATCCTAAGCAGGCTCCAGGCTCCGAGCTGTCAGCACAGAGCCCGACGCGGGGGTGGGCGTCGGGACCACAAGCGGCGAGATCATGACCCGAGCTGGAGTCAGACGCCCAACCAACTGAGCCACCCAGGGGCCCCCCTGCAGTATTCAAATCCGAGGGCTGCCAGCCCCAGACCCCAAAAGAGTGAATGTTGAATAAGCCTGGAGTGTATCCCCTTGGACTCCACTAAGGCCTGCCTCCCCATGCCCCGCCCCCCCTCACCATGAGTCCCCCACGTGCTTGTCCTCTCCTCCCCCATTTCTCTGACTTGTTTACTCCAACATGGCCCCTGCCCCATCGGGTCCTTCCACAGTCCTTATCACCTGACAGGGGGCGTGGGGAAGCAGCCATATATATATAGCCCCTGTCTCCCCAGTCAGCAGGAACAGACAACGAGGACACACACACTGACCCGGTAGGGTAAGGGAGCAAGCGGTGTGGTCGGGATCCAAAGGCCAGGTTTTAATTGTGGGAAGGGAGGGAACCCGGTCGGAGTGGGTACTTAAGTAGCCATCTCCGGGGAGGGGCTGAAACTGAATGAAGCTCGTTCCGCTTCAGCCCCTCCCCTACCCCCACCTGTTTCCAGGCCACCTTCCCCACCGCCACCACCATGAAGCTGCTGGCAATGGCTGTGCTACTCCTCACCATCTGTAGCCTTGAAGGTGGGTGTGGTACAGAGAGGGGTCCCAAAGAAGGAGAAGGTGCTGGGGGTCGTAGCTACCCATCTGGCTGCGCTCCTATGCCCGCTCTAGCCACCAGAGAGCTCAAAAGATAGATCGTTCCCCCTCTAAAGCTCCTGGAGCTGGGTACCTGTTTGGGGAGGGGCCTGAGAGCTCCTTGATGGGTATCCAGCTAAGAAGGTATGTGCGCGTGCGTGTGTTTCCGTGCGTGCAGGGGCTTTGGTGAGGAGACAGGCGGAGGAGCTGAGTCTACAGAGACTGGTCTCTCAGTACTTCCAGACGGTGACTGACTACGGCAAGGACCTGGTGGAGAAGGCCAAGGGCCCAGAGCTTCAGGCCCAGGCAAAGTAAGTTTCAGTGAAAAAGGTTCAGGGGACACCTGGCCGACTCAGGAGAGAGCATGCAAGTCTTGGTCCCTGGATTGTGAGTTCAGGCCCCACATTGGGTGT